CTCCCCTTTGGCCTTCTGCTTTTGATAGTTGTTGCATTCATCACAGGTAGGCATATTGAAGGCGACATTATGGATATGGAGACATGAATTTATCAAATGAACAAACGAATAATATTATGTTTGCATGTCATGGCAGACTACTCTATCATCTTACTAATCAAAGGAGGCAACCTATCAGGGACAAACAGTTATCAGTCACTGGTGCAAAGCACATTTGGTTTCCCTGGATTTCTAATTTTATCTGCACTGCAGTTCCTTTATCCTTTTATTGGTGAGTTGTTTATACGCAAACAGATCAATCTAATGTTGAATATTATATCACAGTATAGTAGCATTTTATGTGTAATTTATGTGTAATCATCTAACAAATGATTTTATTCTATTCTCTTTTTGCTATTTCTGTTCCATTCCTTTAGATTTTGGTTTAGTCAAAATAATACTGCAGATTAATATGAATAATAGAATGATGCATCTTCTTTGTTTTCTTTCTCAGCTATGATTAGCTACAACATCACCACGGGTGACACAATGACCAAAGTATTTCAGAGAATACCAGGAGGTATGCTGCATATAGTTTATGCAAGCAACACCATGTGCAAAATAAATAAAGTTTCTAAATTAAAACATATACAGTGCATCTATAATATGTGAATTTGTCAGATGGTTAATGTATATGTTGCCATGTGTTGTGTTTGCAGTTGGTCCAGATCACATACTTGCTGAGCGTCACTTTGTAATCTTGCTATCAACTGTTGCATTCACGCTGCCTCTCTCGCTTTATCGAAACATAGAGAAACTTGGGAAGGTAAGTCTAATTATTATACAGTTGACAGTGTCATTTAGTGATGTTAAAGCTGCCTGTAAAACATCCATGTGTGTTACCAGGTGTCCTTCCTGTCAATGGTGCTGACACTTATCATCCTCATCATTGTAATCATCAGAGCAGCTACCTTTGGACCTCAAATGTATGAATGAATATTCTACAATTTGCTAATCCATGGTGATTTTCATTTAAATGTTCCTGTGTATGAACCATGGGGTTCTTTTTTTAATAACTACCCACTAAAATGCTATTATACAAACATAATCATGTGTATCTTTGTCCTTTGATGACTGAATATGAATATCACTCTCTAGCCTCCCTACAGAGAATGCATGGGCATTTGCAAAGTGGAATGCTATTCAGGCAGTTGGTGTAATGTCTTTTGGTGAGTTTGTCTGCATGATGCTGATGATGGAGATGCCTAGAATATATTTTGCAGTATGATGTTGGTAGACAAAAATGTACGACTGCAGATAAAAATACAAGCCAAGGTGACAGGCAAATACATTTTTCATGGAACAAAACAAATTGTGTGAACGAAGACAGATTATCCACAAAACCCCAAAAAGTTTAAAGGGGTTATCACCTCACCTGGAAAAAAATTGCATCACCATACACCTGGGGGAGGTTAGTGCTACATAGACCAATAGAGAAAAACCATTTAGCTCGTTGTTTTGGTTTTACAACCTGTAGGCCTACATACTGCATGGTTAAATTTCACTGCTGTCATCAGTCCTGTATCCAGCAGCAGCTGTTTTAAAGAAATAAGCTCTGATCAAACCAATGTCTGCTCCACACACCCAGCACCTAATGGCTGACAAGGTACCTGGTGAAGAAAGTAAAACATCTGACAAGCTTAAAGCAGAAGTGTGTAGGATTGAGTGGCATCTGTGAAATTGGATGTGCAACCATTTGAATACTGCCCGCCTCACCATCCCCTTCCAAGCTTGAAGGTGAAACGGTGGCTCTCTAGAGCCAGTGTTTGGTTTGTCCATTCTAGGCTACTGTAGAAACATGGCGGTGCATGGCACACTCTGTGGAAGGGGACCTGCTCCCTCTGTAGATAAAAATGTTCTTATTCTTATTTTCAGGTGATTATACAGTAATAAAAATATATTTATCAATTAGTGCTGTATTGTGCAAATAGTCCACTAAATCTTACACACTGAACCTTTAACATATTTTTCTCAGCAGTTGGTGAAGACCAAAACAGAGCTAAAATACCCGTGAATCTTGGACTTACATTCATTAGGTTGCCAAAAACAGGTTCCAATAGGATGATCTGTTTCTGTAGTTTTGCTAGATTGTTAAGTATACCATTGTTTGCGAACATGTTAGCTATAACTTAATTTCAGTGATAAAATGGCTGTTTCTGTCAGCCGCTTAGTAGGCAGAAACCGACTAATGCAGCTTTAATTTAATGTCATTAAATCGATCGCATCAAAGAGCCGAAGCCCATGGCTTCAAATCACAATGTTGCCAATTCAGGATAACACACGAAATCCAGCTTAAATATGAGAAGATTGAGGCTATTATTTAAGTTAGCACACTGTCTAAATATTGCTCTGCTTTTGGAAAATCAGTGTACAACATCTCAAAGAGTGTCTGTTGTCATTACCTTCTGAGTGAGACTCTGCCTCCCAGTGCAGCCTGTGAGTAGAGGTCTAGGTCTTCTCCAGTCCACCAGGTGGTGAAAATCATGGCTTTGACTCAAGTGTGTTAATGATAATAGCTACTACTGCTACAAAGGAAGCTATTTGGATGGGGATGTGTATGCTCTCAGGAAAATATAGTGCTGTGTAGTTTGAACTAAGACTGGTATAGTTGCTAGTCTTAAAGGGGATGGATATGCTTAATTTACCATTAAATCCATTCTGCAGTAAGGAAAGAGACCTTCTTTGTTCCTACAAGGTTAGCAAGAAAACTTCAAATTAGACATATATCCAAGGAGCAATATTCCTCAGTGATTGTATTCTATATGTTAATCTCTGCTATTCTTCCTCTGTGTGTCTCTTTAGCCTTTATATGCCACCACAACAGCTTTCTTATCTATGGTTCTCTGGAGCAGCCCACGCTAGCTAACTGGTCTCGGGTCACCCACTTGTCTGTAGGCTCTGCGCTAATAATTAGTGCTACCTTTGCTGTTGCTGGCTATACCACCTTCACTGGCTACACACAAGGTATCAGTATGAGAGGTGTTGAACTACATGCCTGTAATTTCTTTTAAATATTACAAATATTTCTTATGATCTCGTATTTCCACATTTTAGGAGACATATTTGAGAACTACTGCAGAAATGATAACCTGGCAACGTTTGGTCGCTTCTGTTTTGGCCTCAGCATAATAACCACATTTCCACTGGAGTGTTTTGTTACACGAGAGGTAAGTGATACTTTCTTGTACGCCAACCTAAGAATCAGTTAGTCAGGAACAGTTAAATGTTTACATATGTGAGAGAAAGTGGTATTCTGAGGTTTTGAGCTATAGACGTGGCTTTGAAACAAAATTAACAAAAAGAAAGTTTGGCACCCAATTGCTACAGCAGAACTGCTCAGTGGGTAACAGTGTGTGGGTGTGTGTGTATGTGTGTGTTTATGTGTGTTACCCTCTTTTAACTTGCAAATATGATGCTAATTTGAATTGTTTTTCCATTTGCAGAAAAGGCATACACACAAATATGTGTGCAGGAGGACTATTTTATTGTCATGTTCTTGTTTATCTTCTCAGGTCTTATCCAATGTCATTTTCAGTAGGGATCTTTCAAAAGCTGAACATGCGGCCATAACTTTGCTCATAGTTGCAGTTTGCGCATCAGTGTCTTTGGCCTTTGACTGTCTGGGAGTTGTTTTGGAGCTCAATGTAAGTCATCTCAACTCAGCCAATCTATACCTATCTATACTTACCTACCTTGATGATGCTCTCTTCTGCCATCCAGGGTGTTCTGAGTGCCACACCTCTGATTTTCATCATGCCGTCTGCGTGCTTCCTCAAACTCTCCACTGGCCGCTGGTTCGAAGGTGAAAACTTGATACCCACCATCTTGATATTAATTGGCGTGTTTGTAATAATCACTGGCTTGACAATGACTGGCCTCTACCCTCAAGACTGTTCGCACGGTGTGGAGATGTTCTACTGTGCAGATGCTAATGTCTCGGGCACTGTGCCACCTGTATGAAATTAACATCCAACAAATATTTAAATTGTCTTAAACTTTTTTTTAACAACACAGGCTTTATGCACTTACCATGGGGCTTTTTTATGGCTTAGGCTAAAGTTTCCTTAGTTCTAGTTACGGTAAATCCTAATGCTACACCATGAAATGATATTTCAGAAAATACTTTTGTGTGCTTTCAACTTTGTGGCAACACTTTGGGGAAGATCTTTTCCTCTTTCAATATGACAATGTTTTTATTGGGTTTGGAGCTGAAGAACTTGACTGGCCTGCACCATAGACTGTTTATAAAAAAGCCTGCACAGACCCTGACCTCAATGCTATTAACGCCTTTGAGATGAACTGGAACACTGACTGTGAACCAGGCCTTATCACCAAACATCACCAATGCTCATGTTGCTAAATGGGAGCTAATTGCTGCAGCCAGGTTCCAAATTATTCTGAAAGTCTCCTGAAAAGAGGAGAAGCTGTTAAAGTAACATATTAATGGCAATGATTTTGGAATGCGATGTTCTACAATCACACATGGTATAATGTTGAGGTCGGTTGGCCACATATTGTATGTAGAAATGTTTAATTTTTTGTTTTTCCTTTTGTAATTAATAGTAAATCTTGATATTTATTATTCTGGATTGTTTGTATCACACAGAATTTATCGTTTCCATATCCAGCCACACGATGTCACTGTAGACAAATAAAGCATTTATTAAAAGGAAGTACAAAACAACAACAACTCTGATGTTTTTATGATTCAGCTTATCTCAAACTAAATGATTGGTTGTTTAGGGTTGTTGCTTTGTGTGTGTGCTCGGCCAAGATGTAAACGTGGACAGGATACCGCTATGTCAAACGCCAGGACCAGGATCCTGGAGGGAAGGTAAACTGGATCTGAGAGACGCCCAACTTTTACAGCTCAATGTTGCGATGCAGTGTCTTGGATGCAGAGGGGAAAGTTGGCAAGAGTTTTTCACGGTGTCTGGCTCAAAATGATTTAGATATGTCTGACTAGGTAGTTTAAAAGGAGGAGAGAAATATCTTACCACACTGGAATGGTTTGCGTAAAGGGCGCAAAACACGGAACTTCAGAGCGGGGTTATGGATCATTTATCCAAATAAAGGCTGTTTGTAGTCTGCAACTAACGTTACCTTTGTGAAGGCTGATGGAAGGTGACAACTGCGTCGAAAACCAACTACATTCATGGTGAGACATTATTAGTAAATACTTTCAATCGTTAGCCCTATTTCCAGAAAGAAGGAAAAAAACGGTTCATATGACTGAAAACTGATGACCTCATGTGGGATTCGCCCCTATTTCAGTATTTGTCCGTTTGCATCACTTGAAAGCAGCAGGTTAGACTATTGCAGTTATAAGAATGAGTATGTAAACGGTTACTAAAAATGAATTGTGATTTTTGTTTGTGTCTGACCAGTCCAAGGGATTTGGTTAAACCAATGAGTTTAGTCATGGATGATCATGGATCCCAGCCACATCCACGGAGCTCTGGTCTGAGGTATGTAGCACTCTCATTTGGATTACCAGCTGTCATATCGGTATAGTGTAAAACATAAGAGGGACATGTGTGTCCAGTAGCCTTTTTATTGGAAATTAAGAAATATTAGTTATAATTTATTTTTTAACTGAGCCAATAAATCTGCATGGTCCCAATATTATTGTTTGGGAAATAAAAGTATAAAACAAGTTAATAGAAAACATTGGAGAAAAGGCCTGGAAATGAAAAGTGTGAGTGGCTAACTGCATGGAGCTGACAACAACATTTTGGTAACAGGGAACCCGCTGTGTTCTGACCAAATTGTTTGAGGTATGTGTTAAAATTCCACCTGTGTTAAATAATGCATCTGCATAACCAACTTTCAAATAACATTCCTTTCACTCAGTGCATCTTGTTAGAGTCAAAGTTTTTGCAGATGTTTCAACCTTTGAACTCTCCTCATTTCCTGCTTTCAGTCTTTTTGCTGAGAAATTGCCTTGACCATATGTAGAGGTCATGGGAAGTATTTTGCAGGCAAAACATTCAGCCTCCTCTGTCTCTGTGATGAGCACGAATGTAATTTTTCTTGTGGCAATCATGCATTCACTGGGCTTGAAACTGATATTCTATAAAATACTGATTAGTCATGTCCAAAAGTCAAAGAAAATCACATTAAAAAGTGCTGTGATTACATGACATGATGGAATTTCCCATCAGTTTTGGTTCAGGAACTTTGAGATGATGTCAGCTGCCTGTATTCCAGTGGTTGGAATCATTAAAAAGGAGGAGTGAGTTTCCAGAGCTTTTATACAGAGTCACTACTCACCCGTTTGGCATTCAGATGAGATTTGCCGAGTTTAAGAATTAAATTAGAGGTGAGATGTTGAATTTGAACATATGATAGTTTCCAATTAAGTATTCCATGATGCTATGCAAAGTTTCCAGTCATGCCCTGCATACTGTAGTTCTCCATTTCTAAAAAAAAAAAAAAATAACATTCAGGCACTTCATATACAGTCTACAAAAGAAAACTCTCTCTTGGTGTGACTTATATTCATATTTCATAAATGTTGTTGGAGCACAGCCACCCTATCAATGGAGACTACGTAAATCTCTCTGTGGTTTGACTATTATTTGGAAAAGTAAACCACACTCTTCCATAAGCTGCTGGGGTGTGGGGAAAGGCGCATGTTCTGTCTTATTTGTGGCTTCTTATATTTGGAGCCAATAAACTGCTGCTGCTCCTTGCGTTTTCACATGGAGTCATATGTGAAGACTTTATGTGACACCCCCCCCCCGAAAGCTACGCTACATTCATTAAACAAATACTGACCCTGCCAGAATCACTGGGCTGGCTGTTCTCCAAGCAGAGATGCTGCTAGCCCCCCACACAAGACAGACGGTACATTATTTAACATGATGTAGTCTTTACACAATTAGTGAAGAGGTTATTGGAAAAGTTATTTTAAGATGTTTAAAAAAAAAGCAATAATCATAATAGTATATAATCACTGAATTATAATCAGTGTATTTTTGTCGCTTCTTAATTGTAAATCTTCAAGATTCACTAATTCATTCTCAGTCTAACAGTGCACTGCTTGGTGCTGGGTTTGCTAATTGGTCACACCTTAAACCGTGATCTCACAGGGCTGGCTTTCCTTGGGGCAAAATGTGGAATTAGTTAAGGTATTGTGAATCCCCACAGCTGTTTCTCGACATGCAGGCAGTCCAAGGGTACAGCTGCTCACATGAGTCTAGGGATGAAAATCATGGCAAGGCTGACTGAAGTGAGAGGGCACGTCAAGTTGAAAACACTTGCTTTTGAATTTCACAACAACCAGATACTGTATGTAGAACTACGAGGCGTCACAGTTTAAGTTGAAGTGACGCAATCAGTGCACGACCATAATCAATAGAAACAGACACAGGTGTGGAGGGTGCTGAGGAGAAATTGTTTTTCAACTTTTTTGTCTTGGCTTTTCAGTCATGTAGCTAAGCCTAATGAATGCCTATAGGGACGGACTTGATTTCAACGCGCTTCTATGAATCCACAATAATATGTGATCAACTCCTATGCTTCTAGTCTGTTGACACCAAAGACGAGACAACAAACATCACAAGGCCTTCTAACTAAAGCGTAACACAGCGTTTTCATCTCAGAATGATCCTCACAAACAACAAGGCTTTCTTCATTCAGGAAAATATATAATTTGGTCTACAGCATGCAGCCCTCAGGAAGCCCACTCAGATTTTCTGTGCTCAAGAAGCAAGATAAAGGATGTCATTCAAAGACATCCACCCACTAGAAGTGTAATAAAACGAGAGGAAAATCAGCATCAAGGCCCAGCAAGCTCGTCCTAGCAATGAGCTGGTGTGTCTTTGTATCCTGGAACGTTTAATCTCATGGATGCTTTCTGCCTCACAGGGCTGAAACAGACAAAATGGCAGGGAACAGGGAATAATGGGTTGTCTTTGTTGCCACACTGAAGCCAACGCATTGACCGCAAATACCAGTGATTACATCTCACTGGGCAGTTTGTGAATATTATGAAGTGAACAGTTTGTTGGTTATTATAGATAATATTTCTTTTTATGGCTAAAGTAGATTTTAAGATTATATATTTATATAATATTGATGTTGTGCACAGCAGCCTTTTTAGACTCCGGCTAAACAGACTGCAAGTCTTGGCCCCTCTTTGTCATGCACTCTTCCAGGGCATAACAGTTGGATGCCTCCCACTCTCGGCCTAACATGAATTAGTTCTTTGTGTGCTCTCAATAGGAACCTTTACTTATCTCCAATAACATTCAAACATTTTATGCGACAAAGGAACAAATTGCCTTGATTTGCTTGACCTGCATTATCAGTGTTTGTGTTGTTTAGATGAGATATTAACAGACAAGGCCAAGCCAGTCAGGACATTGGCATTGATTGAGCATACAACAGGTTTGTTTAACAAGTTCTTGAGAAGCAGTCCAACAGTTATTATTGACCTATCATAAAGCCAAGCTTAAACCGACATTAGGACAACAAAGGGCAGGTATTAAATGGTAAATGCAAAATTGCACACCTTGAGATGGTTCTCTAGATGGCACTATCACTGTACATATATATGTTCATAGTGTTGTATCCACCCAGATGTTTGCGCAGTAGTGTTACCAGACTGGTAATGAACTGATAAACTGAACCTTATCATCCCCTAACATACACTGCACCAAGCTAATGAACCACAACATGACACAAACCAACCAGCAGCCAGCAGTTTCACTGAGGATATTCACACTAACAGCAAACATTAGTAAGGAAAGCAAGCCGCTTTATATTAAAGATCCGTCACTTTGTATATTCCAGCTGTATTTAATTCTGCATCGTTCTTCTGTGCTGCTGCTTTTTGTTAAATTTGCAGTAGAACTTCAGTATTTAGTTCTTGACAGAGTTGAAGGAAAGGTGCAAAAGCTCCTCCTATGACCCATGACACTGAAATAACAGGAGAGTTGTGTTATTCTTGCCTCACAGGGTGTAACCCTGGTGACATTAAGATGAAGTCTTTTTGGGGGGGGGTTCTTGAGGGTTGTGCAATAGTGAACATTCTGTTTACACTATTAGCAATGAAATGGGATAATACTGAATGTGCCTGTGCAGAGGTACTGTGTGCACATACACTGTTTAGAAACGTCAGTTCATGTGATTAGCAAAAGAGGGTAAGCATGCTGGTCTGCCTTTGAAAGATGCCCCACTGTAGACAATGCTTCATTGTTTCAGATGAAAGGACACAGTGTGATAGTTATTTTTTGACTCACGTGGGGAGCTTTCTCTCTCACCAACTTTATTTCATCTAAATATTGGTCTCACTTAAAACTCCACACATTTGGCCAAGTCACTAGAGTTTAGCATGATAATTACCTACCTAATCTCTTCTGTACGGTATTTAAGCAGTGTAGGGCGGTTGTGCGTATCTGGAAATGAATGCCTGCAAACCCAAACAACTTATTCTAAGTTCACATTCTTGAGAGGTTTGTTAAATTCAAAGAAATGTATTTGTGCATCAACAGAGACTTGAACCGCATATTGTGTTCTTTTCTTTATGTTTAGCACACATCGTTTTGTTCTTTGCAGATCCAGGGTTTTGTTTCAGTGCAATGTTTAGAGCAAAATATTTTAGCTGCTCTGAGATAAGGTTAGGGTAATGTACCGTAGCAGACCCCAGTTCACAGACTAGAATATGAAAGTCAGCTGTTTCAGGCATTGTATAGGGAACTGAGCAGTCACACCATACAATCTCAAATCTCATTACCTAGCTGGCTGGCAGACCTGCTAGCTTACTTTGGCTCTGCTGTAGTATTAGGCACTGTACAACATGTAGAGCAAGAGTGACCACCACGGGGAGTAATAATGCTGAGTGAAAATGAGGTGGATCATGACAAACGGATATTAAAGAATGCACTGAAAAGCTAATAATGTCACGAGGTTGGTCCTAAAATATTTATCAGAATTGTACATAATGATGTTGAGGACGCCCTGGGAGTTTAAGTTTGACGAGGCATGTGCTACAAAACGCTGTGGGAAAAAGTTTTTTGTTTTGCATGCAATAATAAACAATACACATAGGAAGTGGGAAGTTCTCATAGGGTCCCTGTGCTCTTTTTCTCCATAATCTCGTTCCATCCCACACTACTTATGAAGTAATGGCCTCTCCAGAACTTCTTTTAAAAGCCAGTGTTTACTGTGAGTGACCTCTCACCAAATTACCAGCTGTGGCTCTGGCCTGTGTTTTGTCTTTCCTTAGGGACCCCCATCCCCACCCCCACCCCCCTTCTGTGTAACTCTTTAACTCCACCTCCTCTGGCCTGCTTCTACACACTAACATCTACATTCACCACTTTACCTCCTTATCAACTGATGGTATTTGGTGGTGGTTGTAGAATTGGCCGCACATTCTTAAGTGAAAGTGCAAGGCCACTGATAAAGGACTGGCACAGAGCAATTACTTCATAATGAAGAGTCAAACGTATTGCTTCCA